TGCCTAATTGATAATGAAATAAACTCTGCCAAAGCAGGAGTTAAACTCAGAGGAGCCTCAGCCCCTTGATTGCTAGATGGAGCTGGAACCTCAGGGGGTTCTTGCCTTGGGGGGGGGGGGGGGGGTGGAGATAGAGGCCTAGCAGCAGGAAATACAGAAGAAGCATCAGCAGCCACATTCTCACCCTGAGTAGACTGATCTGGAGAAAAATCATGTTCAATTTGGATTTGAGAAGGGGAAACAGCCACATTGGAAGTGGGGAGGGCAGAGGATTTAGATGGCCCCACAGCAGGAGATGAAACTCTAGAGGCCTCCGATGCAGCCTTCTGAAAGGCCTTTTCCATGGTCTTATGCCTCCTGGTCTTTTCCCTTGATGATGCAGCAGGATTGGCACTCTTGGAATGAGTGGACCTAGTAGAAACTCTGGCTGCCTTGGAAGGGACAGGATCCCCTGAAGATCCTTCCTTAGGATCAGAAGTATGGCCCCTTTTCCCTTTATTCTGGGGTTTATTGCTCCTAGCATCCGCCATTTTGGAGCAGGAAAAATACTTTCACAGTTCAGAAAATTAAGGCCAAAAGAGGGAAATAACCCCTAAATATACACCCACAGGGAATAATTGGTGATTCAGGTAACTCACTGCACCAGGAGAGAAGCTGGAATGGTGCCAGAAGTCAGGATGGCCAAACAGGAGCCTGGAAATAGCCGCTAGCCAAATGGCTTAAAGGCGCGGCAAAATTAGGCGCGGAAAAGCCTTGCGCCAAAAACTTGCAGCAACAAAGGTTCCAACAGATGCAGGAGGCAAGGAAACCTCCCAAATGGCCCCAAAAGGACAGAAAATTGCTGCTGCTAAGCGCGGCGGTGCTTCCGCATGTGCGCGCTGCCGCGGGGCTGCTCACAGCCACCAGAACGCTCCTAGCGCTCCCCAGCTGATTTCAATTAAGTCTTGTTGCTTCGATGAAAAACACCAGCAAAACTAAGTAGAACTGAGCAAAATTAGCAGAAATAGCAGAAAATAGCCAAAAAGCTCTCCCCACGTGGAGTTAATAGGGTGAGCTAAACAGACACGACTGTCCTCTACCAGACCGAGTCGAAAAACTGGATACAGGAAGAGGCAGGACTTCTTTAGTTGGTAGACTCGGTCCTAGGATTACTGGATAAGTCACATCCCTCATGTGACCAGCGTTTCCTCCGTGACTGAGAATTGATTTGAGTTGAGGTTGGCATGCCTTTCTGTGGGATGGCACAGATAAGAAACACAGGTATTTCCAGAGGCCCTTAATCAGAGGTTCATTATACAAAACATGGAAAGACATCAGAAAGCAACATTATAGTAAAATCCCGAGATGGCTGTCCCCTATGGAAGCATTAATCTACCCAAATACTATAGAAATAGGAAAGATGAGGAAATATCAAGAATTGTTGAGCAGGGAAGGGAACTATACACAAGACAAGAACTGGAAATGCAAGGTATAGTTATTGATTGGTGGCCATACCTCCAAATAGAGTCAAGATTCACAGCAGACTGGATACAATATGGATTCCAAACCGAACCGAATGAATTAGATAAAATACTAAAAGGCACGGACGAAAAAATGATATCTAAAATTACAATTATCTACTGAGGTATAAATTAGAGGAGGAAATGATGAAAGAAAATATGATAAGCTAGGCAAGAAATATAGGTCATAACATAGAACTGGACAAATGGGATAAGCTATGGACAGAAAATCATAAGATGACAATGTTGATCCCATACAAAGAAAACCTATATAAGATATTCTACAGATGGCACCTCCCACCGGCACGTTTGGCTAAAATGTTTCCAAATACATCACCAATGTGTTGGAAATGTAAGTCGCAAAAGGGGTCATATTACCATCTCTGGTGGTCTTGTAGAAAGGCACAACACTACTGGCAAGAAATTAAGAGAATGACTGAAGAAATAACCACAAAAAGTTGAAATGAAACCAGATTTTTTTCTATTTGGAATGACTACACCACAATATGCTAAGGAGATAAAATACCTTATTATTCACATTTTGACAGCAGCACGCATACTGTACGCCCAAAATTGGAAATCCGAACTACTACCAACAGAAGCAAAAATAATTGCAAAAATAACCGAATGTGCAGAAATGGATAGACTCACTAAAGAGCTTCAAGAGAAGGAAGATACCGATTATTATATAGTTTGGCAAAGATGGTACTCATGGTTGGAGGAAAAGATAGGGCCAGTAAAATAAAATGTTAGGAAAACTTAAATGGGAGTACAGAAAGTGGCACATGAGGGAAACAGTAGGATGGTAGTTACGAATAGTTAGTACAAATTGCAGAAAACTATGCTTAGAAATGCACAATTATGTTAAGACACAAATAAGCAGAAATGCAAACTTTTAAATAAAGAAACAACAGGTAAATGAGTAAACAACCACCGATATAGCAGCTTCTTAGGATAGTTTCTTCTTTTTTCTTCGTGTGTGTATTGTATTGATGTATATGTACATGTTTTTATATGTATTTACGTTGTATGTTTGTTGGTGTTTAAAATAAAAAATTTATAAAAAAAGAAAAGAAAATCATCCCCCACCCCACCCACTCCAGTTAAATGCGTGGAGTGATAGGGTTTGTTTTAAATGGATAAAAAAATTTGTGCTACTCGTTATCAAAATCCGAGTGGAAGTGAGGACATGCTGATCCTGACACTGGTAGGCAGAGGCAGAATTCTTTTTTTCCTCCCCAAAAATTAAAGTGTGTCTTATAGTCCAGTGTGTCTTATAGTCTGAGAAATATGGTAAGTTATTTTCTGAAGAAAAAACATGCTCACAAAGAAAATGGGACAGAAGTCTAAATTATAACACTCCCATTAAAGTGAAGTAACCAGGAATTAGCAGAAGATTAACGCTTGGCGCCTTGCTGGCATTCTGTCATCAATGGGAAAGGGGGGGAAACAGATAGGCAATTTGCTGTATACTTTTATGGTGGAAAATTGGGAGGGGGGAGTTGACAGTTGAGGAAGATCAGAGCCATTTGGAATCTGGTTCATGCTGGAGCACTGGCATCTTCAAGGCCATTTGCTTTGTGTGTGAAATTTCACCAAATACCTGAGTTTCCATAACATTATGGCGGTGCTGGATTGGCTACTCTCATACAGACCCCAGGGAAAGGGCCTGAGGAAACCAGGAATTTTAGCTCTGTATTGGCATGCAAGAACTTTAGATTCCACTTGACTCTCTTGCAATTAGCATCTCTTAGTAATTTCAAATGGAGTCGAGAGTTTTACTTCCCTAAAAGATCAGACTGGGGTGGGTCTGACAATATCCTGCAGTCTATCCATAATGGCAGACCACTGTACAACAATTAGATGTTAAGATTCACACACACACAGCTGACATAAACAAATCTGGATACAGAGAGTTTTATTCTTTAAAATATAAATGCAAAATAATTTAATAGTCATGCCATAATTAAGATATATTCAGTATGTACTGTTATTTTCTGAATTATCACACCCTTTGTTTAATTGTAACAACCTGTCATGATATTCACTGCAGCAAAAATTATGCAATATTGAAATTATCTTCTAGATAAACAAGTTCTGAATTAGCATTATACAAAATAAATATTCAAAATCCCCACTCTGTGCTGTCAAAATAATCTCCCAAATTCAAACATGGAGAAATATCAACTTTTTGCTTTTCTAATTATACCAACTCAATATCATATCTCTGTTTTTTGTATTAGATTTGGAGTACTTTCATCTACTGCATTTTGTAAAAAGAGAATGCTTTCTTTAGCACTCCTTGGAAGATTTAATGACAATACACTATGCCTTAATGTAGATTTTGCCCTAAATGAGAAAACCATAGCAGACAATTCAGAAACCTTAGTAATTTTATTGCTGAATGAAGTGGAATCTACTTTACAAAAATGTTTATTACAAAATGTTTGTAGACTTTCAGCCACCAATTTTTGCTATTTTGTTACAATACAGTAGCTCTATATACTGTAAACTATAGAGAAACTGTGGATAAAATGGACCTGCCTCCTTTATTAATGATGGGCAGTATCACTGTTCATTCAAAAAATGTTTTTATATATATGGATTTAACTAAGAAAGGCTAGGGGAAAGAAGGAACCAGAAAATATATACTAATGTGTCTTCCATGCTTACTACATTGTGGTAGAATACTACTGCTTTCCATTTAAATAGATCTCTTTTGTGCACATCACTACAGAAGCACACTTGATTTTCTTGTGTTTTTGATGCTTTAACATTTCTACCCAGTATCATCCATCTTTCAAATTTTCATTTCAGATTTCTGCTTATTAATAAAACAGTAAAGTATTCTGTGTCTAATACCAGAGAAGTGTTTCTATACATAACTCAGAAATAGAACAACATTCCTGCCCATGTTCAACATTATTTCAGCCAAGAAAATCATTGCAAAACTTAAAGCTCCTTCGAAGTTGAATATGTGTGGATAAAGTCAGAACCAGGCAAAGCCTTCATATTCAAATCATGGAAAATTTGAAATAGATAGGGATAGCTTTAGGAATAAATAAAACTAGTATAATTTCCAATGCAGATACTTTTATCTTGCAGAAAAATTGTTGATACATTTTAACATAAGATCTTTTAGCAAACATATTCAGAAATTTATCTACTTTAGGTGAGGAAAACTTTGCCAAAGATATAGTTAAATTCATATGTTTGCTTGAAAGCTTCACTGGGAAATTTTATCCATTTATTTTTATTCCCTGTTTTGTGCTGCTTAACAAAATACCAATATGTAACAGCACCTCTTCTCTTTTCCTATGATTGTTGTTTGTTCAAAAGTCTTTGGTAAGGGACTTAGCAAAGACTATGGAAGCTGATCAACAATAACCGGACAAAGGTATCATTCTCCCAATGGCTGACAGCTAAGATTTGCAACAGGAACAATCCATGACTAGATAAGAAATGTTACTGTAAGTTTTAAAATGAATCAATTAGGCTTACATTATTTTTTAATCTTCCATTGCAATTCTTCAGATACATCAATAGCTTAAAAATTCAGTATCAGCATATTGGCCAGAAGCTCTATGAACAAAAACAAGAACATCCTGAGAACAAGATGCACAATACTTGAAGAGGTTTCAAAAACCCAAAGAGTAATAGGAAAGGATCTGTAGGCCACTCTTGCATTGTCTGATGTCAGTGTTCCTAAGTCTGCTGTAAGAAAAACACTGAACCAGACAAGTCTGCATGATATTATGAAGGAAATTACCAATTTCCCAAAGTGCATTGTTGCCTATGTTGTTTGTCCAAGAGCTCTCTGATCTCCCAACTAAATTCATGTCGGATTAGCAGATACCAACATCTTAAATTATATCCAATAAGCAATTCGCAACCAATATAGATCTTTCGGAAAAGCAACCAATTGATTCTTATACTTCGCACTGGTTGGCAATTTAGCAATCATCTTTTGTATTAACTGCAGATTCCAGAAGCTTTACAATGACATCCCATATATATTGTTGCAATAGAAAATTCCGAAAGAAACAAGGTATAGATAACTGTCACCAAATCTGACTAAGAAAGGTCACTATTGGCACTTAATTGTATAAAAATCCATGTTATCTGTGAATCCAGCGACAGCTGAATCGTTCAAAGAACACTCCCATATTACGGAATTGTTCTTTCATAGATGTAAGATTTATCCAAAACAGGCTGAACCTTATTCCCAAAACCAGATTTCTATTTATCTATACCAACTCCATCTTGTCTGAATCTAATTTTAATTTATCTAGCCCACTATTGACCTATCATGTTATTACTTACATTATATTTATGGTTCAAAAAGAAAATATATTTTAGTAGTTCATGAAAATCTCTTAATAATTTGTAAATTATTTCTGTTAACTGTAGTCAAGTAAAAGTAAGCCATTATATAATTAATTTTTATATAATTTGTTGGGTGAACACATCAGTAGTTTGTAAACAAAGTTGTTTCCTGAAATGGATTCAACCAGTTGCCTTGTACAATTTTCCTGCATACCCAAACAATGTTTAAATGACTTATTTTGTACTCCTGCATTATTACAAATACTGATGAAAATTAAGTTGGTAAAGTTCGTCTTTAAAACTGACAAAAAGGCAAACATAATACAATTTTGTTACAAGATTAAAAAGATTTACATCAGTTGGGTTTGAATGATTTTCTTCTCCATACTCTGCTCTTAGGCAATGGAAACTACTATGTTTACTCAGAAATAAGACCGTGTCTTATTTTCTTTTGACCCCTGAAAAACAGCTAGGGCTTTTTCTTGGGAGGGTCTTATTTTTTTTTCTCCCATGTACCGGTAAGAGGCGGGGGGGCGAGCGGCCCCTTGTGCGAGTTTCCCAAAGGGTTGCAGCAGGCCATCCCAGCATCCACGATACAGGTGCTTTGCGGGTGCCGCTCAGGTCACTGTCTTCAGCAAACATGGTAATCTCCCACCCCCCCACCTGCATATTGTCCTTTCAAAGAGGAGTTTCACCATGATGAAGAGGCAGCTGGAGGCAGCGTTTGTGTCAGGTTGGGCTTTCTCCTGCCTGTCCTCCTTTTCTCAATCTATACTGCCCCGTGCAGAGCCGATAAGAGAGCTGCAGCGCCCGTCAGGGCCCAAAGTGTGCCGGGCTCAGCATAGCTGTAAACCCGATGCCCACAGCACTGAATAGGCATGCAGGCCAGCGCTCAGCCAAAGGTGGCAGAAGACGAGGCAGCAGCACCACTCCACCCACGACACCAGCAGCATGGGGCCTACACCAGCAGCATGGAGAGAGAGAGAGAGAGAGAGAGAGAGAGAGAGAGAGAGAGAGAGAGAGAGAAGAGAGAGAGAGAGAGAGAGAGAGAGAGAGAGATGGATCTGATCCAATGTCGGAGGGCTGGTGGCGATGTGCACTCTCTCTCTCTCTCTCTCTCTCTCTCTCTCTCTCTCTCTCTCACACACACACACACACACACACACACACATACACACACAGAGGTCCCTCACACACACACACACACACCCCTCCGATGCAGCCACATCGCTTCACTAACCTGCTTGCCAGCTCTGTTCTCCGCTGCACGTACAGGGCAAGAAGTCTCTGGGACTACAGTAAAAACAAATTACCATAGTTCAGATCTTCCAACTTCCAAAAAAAAAATCTCGTGAAGTTTGCCTGCTGGCCCAGCTGCTGCTAGGCCACTTCTCGGCTGCAGTAGGCCCCATGTTGCTGGTGTTGTGGGTGGAGCCATGCTGCCTGTGCCACCTTGCCTGCTGCTGCCTTTGGGCAGCTGAGCGCTGGCCTGCATGTCTACTTGGTGCTGCAGGCACTGGGCTAAGCTACACTGAGCCCAGTGCTCTTCAGGCCTTGGTGGGCGCTGCAACTCTCATTCCAGCTGTGGTTGGGATAGCGGCGGGCAAGGCGGCATGGCTCCACCAGTGGCTGCTCGCAAAGGGGCCAGGCAGGCTGGCAGCGCTCAGGTTTTCAGAGGTTTTTGATCGGGTCTTGGTGGTGGGCTGGGCCAGGCGGAAGGCGAGGTGGCTGCAGAGCTGCCGCAAATGAAGCAGGCGCCAAAGGTGACTAGGTATGATGCTCGCGGCAGTGCTGCTGTTCACGCATGCAACGCCACAAGAAGCCTTGCAGGGTCCTGCTCCAAGAGGCTGCCCCAGTATGACAAACCTCATGGCAGTGCCGCCGCTCCCGCACGGAGTTTGGGGGAGAGAAACAAGCCAGGGTCTCTACTCCTTCTGCTTTCCAGCCAAAAGCAGAAGCAGCAGAGACCCTGGTCTGTCTGTCTGTCTATCTTTCTTTCTTGCGCAATGGCACAAGCCTTGCAGAACTAGGTTTGACATACTGGCACAGCCACGAGTGGCAAGACAGTCAAGTTGTGAACAACCCAGGGATCTGAACAGCATTTAAGTGGCTGGGATGCCTGCAGGGTCCCTGGCTTCTGAGGCAGACGAGGCACAGAGAGGAGGCGCTGTGAGGTAGCTCATTTCTCATGTTGGCCATGTGGGGGTCACCCATGCAGAGGCCGTGCCTCGGGTCACCGCCCTGAGCAGGTGCCGAGCTGGAGGAGGGGGAGGGGGAGTCCCCTTACCTGGTTGCCTTCCGCCATTTCTCATCAAGTGTGTGCATGTGTATGTGTGTGTGAGTGAGAGAGACAGAGACAGAGAGAGGGAGGAATCTTTTTTCAAAGAGTGTTGCCTGCAATTGTTACTCTCCTCCATTCTCTCTCTTTCTCATTCTCTCTCACACAGAGACATTTGATTGCTTGAAAGGGACAGGCTGGACTTTGCTTCTATTGTAAGCATGCACTTCCCACAATCTTCCACAATTGCCTGTCCTTTTCTCAAGCAGCAACAGCTGGGTAGAGGCAGGGGCGGGGAGCCAATTCTGATGGGCCACATGGCTTTCTGACTCATCGTAGCAGCAGCCTAAGCAACACTCGAGCTCCAGGCCTGGTGAAGCGCAAACTGTGGTCGCCGCCTGCTCCATAGCCACAAGGTGAGCTGTGGAACAGAGGGGCCCTCAACTGCAAGGTTGCCTGGTGCTGTGGGCAGGGCTGGGGCTAGCAAGAGTGACTGGAAACATCTCCAGGCACCCAGAGAGACAGAACCAGTGCTGTGGAGTCGGAGTCGAGGAGTCGGAGGAAATTTCGGGTACCTGGAGTCGGAGTCGGCAAACAATGCACCGACTCCGACTTCTACTAAATTTAGATTGGAATTTTAAAAAAAGCAAGTTTAAATGTCCCAATTCACAAAAAGTTATAATTAATGACTTCATTAAAATACATTCGCATATTAATACAGAGGAGTCGGAGTCGGGGAGTCGGAGTCGGAAGTACAAAAAACTGAGGAGTCGGAGTCGGAACATTTATCTCCCGACTCCACAGCCCTGGACAGAACTCCCAGATTTCGCTGGATCAGCGGGCCGTTAAGGGCTTCAGCAGCCATGAGGTGACCGGGGAAGGGAAGGGGTGCCTCCTGTGCTAGCCATGCCTACCCCCTTCACTAGGGCTTATTTTTGGGGTAGGGCTTATATTAGACACACCTAAAAAATCAGGCTAGGTCATATTTTCGGGAAAACATGGGAGATTGTTAATAAAATTGGGAAATATTTAATTTGAAAAATGTGCTAGAAATTGATATTTGTTAAGATCATACTTTTATAGCTTTAAATTGTTCAATTCGTTACAACGCTCCAATTAGCTTTTTTAGAAACAATAACAAAATTGAAGAGCACTGTATATTTAAGTATTTACTATTACTGGTTACTTTTTTAAAATAGGTGATTAAAAAATGAAGTATTCAGAAGCTACAATTGATACAGAATGAAGTGGTACAGACAGTTTAGGAGGCCTCTAGGGTGGCACATATAATACTGCTGTTAGGCGAGCTGCATTGGTTGCAGGTTTGCTTATTTGGGGAACCATCTTGCTCCAATAGAATTGGCTGACCCCACTCACTCTGGTAGAAAGGGTCTGCTGCAGACCTTGTCAGTCAAGAAATTTCAGCCAGCAGGATCTAGAAGTTTTTTCTGCAATGACTCCTGTCCTCTGAAACATTTTGCCAGACCTGAAATCCACCTCCACCTTTTTAGCTTTCCGGAAGGGCCTTACAACCTGGCTCTGCCAATTGCTTGGGACCCTAATGGGGGCATGCTGTGCTGGAGGTGGCTGGTGGAGTGATAGACAAGAGCCCACCCCCATACTGTTTGTGCTCTACATTTTTGGTTTTTAATTCTTAATGATTCTATATTTACAATTTACAATAGCATTGTAAGCCATCTAGAGTTGCTTTGGAAAAAAGAGATGGGTGGCATATATATTTAATAAATAAAAATAAAACTAAGCCATAGAATGATTCAAAGATCACTTTTTCTCCATGCTATGGAAATTCCTCTGACAATTATCTCTCAGATAATTGGGAATCCAGGGAAGCCAATCTTGATCCAAAAGTCTCATCTGTATCACCTGCATATGAGATCAACAAATTTAAATCCTATCGCTTTAAAAAAGCAAAAGTTATCTAATAAGGAAGCCTTTGTGTTTCTGGATTACACTATTATATATTAGGAAAAATCTTCACAGGGTGTTATATTTATCATGTTATGCATTTTTGGGGAACAATCACACAAATGGAAATCTTATTTAACATCACTGTTAGTGCATGAAAATACATCTGCTGAAAATGAACACAGTGACTATCATAGGATAAGAACTGAATTATGGAAAGAACAAATGTATGTAACCACAGTCTAACAACAGTATTAAAATGAATTTGCAGAAATATATCTGGAGTAAGAGACGTTATCTTGGTAGAGAGATCTACCAAATTAGTTATAATTATCTGATCTCACAAGAAACTTTGCTAAGCAAGTCTTGTCTCTGAAATGAATATATTTTCCCAAGTGAAACAACCCCAATGTCAAGTTACAAAATACTAAGTTATTTACTTTGTGGAATGATATTAACACTTATGTTGATATCATGCAAACACATTTACAAAACTATTGAAGAGAGAATATATATGATTTAAATGTTTGCTAACATCAAACCTCATCACATATAAACCTAACTATGCCTTTCTATATAACTATCTATGGTAACTTTTTATGTTATTTAAGCTTCCATCAGATGAAACTAGAAGTACATCTACTGTAATATGCTTTCCACCACAGATAACCCACTGATTTTTAGAACTTACTTTTTCACAGCAGCATTATAGCAACTTATTAGAAATAGGAGAATGAATGGTAACATTCTTAGAGGCTGGACACAGTTAACTATTTCTCTTAAGTATTAATTAAGATTAATCATGAGAGATGTCCATTGACTTTTCTTAAAGGCATACGGTTTTGCTCTTCTTTCTAAATCAGCCTGGTTATTTAAGTGAAAAAAACTAAATAAATCAAACTCCTGATTTAAAAAAACCATACTATGAATTTGTTTGCTCTGAATTCTGTATCATTTATAGAAACATATTGCCATTAATTAATCTATTTTTCCTTGAAAAAACAATTTCCATGGCATTCTTCTACAATACAAAACTTAAATCACTGAAGTAAATGTTCCTTTCTTAAGATGTAGAAAAAAGTGACCATTAATTTGGTAAGAATTAACATTATACATCATAACGGATTTTTTAAAAAAACGTTACCATGGCATATTTTGAATCCTCTTTCACATTACTATATTTAAAACATTACTTGTGTTACACATTGAAACGTAACTCTATTCATTAGTATGGAATTCCTCACAGAATAAGATGTCCCTCTCCCCGTAGAAAAGGGACATGGAACTGGGGCGTCTTGATTGTGAAACCAGGACTCGAAAGCCTACAGTAGAAGGGACGCGACACCTTCGCGCAAAGCCATCACCTCCAAAGCCCCCAAGATTGATACGTGTCCCTGATACGTGTCCGGCGCGCTTCTCCTCCGCGGCGAGCCTAAGCGCTGAGGCCCGGTGAAGGGGGCGGCACCCGGAGACGCTCACCTTCCACTTCGCCCCGCCGTTCCAGCCCTCCTCCTCCCGTTCCTGCTCCTTCTGTAGCCGCTGTCTCAGAAACGCTCTCGGAGCGGCCACTCAGTTTGCCCCCGCGCCTGGATTCCGTCCAACTTGAAGCCGCCAGGTTCGAGCCGGGCTAGAGCAGAAGCCCCGCGCTGCAGAGGCCTGAAAATAAAAGCCTGTCCACCAGCCCGCCTGTCTACTCCTCCTCAGACAAACGGGTTGGGCTTAGTGTCCCGGAAGTAAATGAACCGGAAGTAGGGGGTAAAAGAAAGTGGGAATTCGTCGGCTGTCTTGGTGATTCTTCTGCGGATGAGGGTGGCTGTGTGCTTTACTCCTCTTATCCCGCCAACCTCGTGTGAATCCTTTTCTCCATTTTTGGTGCTTGCGGCTTGTATGATCTTCCCTTTTTCAGGAAACTGTACTGATTACTTCCTGGCTGCATTCTCACGAGACACTAAACGCTTATTAGTCAAGCTGGTTGTAGTAGTCAGGTTCACCTACAATCATCACAAACTATTACCGGTTACCGGTGCTGCGACGGGCAAAAGCAGTATTTTCCCCATCTCGAAATGTCCCTTCTGCTCCAAAGGGACCCCTATTCCAATAGTCTTTTCTTTCTTCGTAGGCAAATAGTTGCTATCGCATTCATGATTAGCTGAAGCTGAAACTTCCCTTAAATTTAATAGGCACATTAGACTACATTAAATTAGTGCAATATGCTGGACTAAAATGCAGCTAGTTAACTAGTGGGTAAGTGGTTGTGCGTACATGTGATAAGTAAGCAATCACACAAATTTAACTTGTAAACTAGAGCAGAGGTTCTCAATCCTTTTTCATTAATCCCCTTTAAATAGCTTTTGTGGCCACGGACCCTCAAGACTTAATTCAATATTTAAATCATAACATTTCATCAAGTCTTTGTGGACCATTGACTGAGAACCACTGGTGTAGAGAATACCACTGGTACCAATTATAGAGTTTATTTTGAACCCCCCTATTAGAAAACACCCCCCCCAAATGCTTCCCTAAGAAATGAGAAGAAATCCCATGGGAAAATACTTCTATCTTTCCCCTTTAAACTGCTAATTAACAAGTGGGATATACTTTGTTGCCAGCAAACCAATCCACACCTAAGGGGCATGGGAATTTAACACTTGCCCAGTATTTTTACTCCCCCAAAGACAACAACAAAGATCATATACCTAAACCAGAAATATCAGCTCTGATAAGAGATATCAAAATATTTGTTCTAAATTCCCTCAGCCATAAAAGCATATTGTCAACTTGCTGTTTTGTCCCCGTCTCACACATGCACACAAACAGTCAGCCAGGAGTTAAAATAAACTTGCAGACAACAATTTCCTTCGATAACAGAATTGGCAGCAACTCAGTAGCTGCTTGCCAAAAACTTTACTCACAGAGGAAGGTGTTCCTCCTCTGTCAGATAAACCAAAATAAATTCACAAAGCCAAAGAATTGTCAAGTCCAGTCCATAATAAATCCAAGGAAGGCAGATAACAAAGTTCCAGAGACACAGTATGACTTGCTAGCTGTTCAGTTTTGTCCGTCACAAAGCCTGAATGGCCACCACACCCCTTTTATCCCCTGTAGGGTGTGGTCCAGTGACTCAGCTTAATCTCTGGCACGCCTCCTCTGCTGTGTGCGCTTGTCTTTCCGACGCTGGCGAGGATCCAGCCAAGACATCTCCGTCGCTGTCCAACTGTAGCTGTTCGGAGATGCCTGGCTCCTGGCCTATCTCTTCTCCTTCGGGAGACACCTGAGGCATTGCCAGAGAGGAGGGTCCTGGAGAGGGAGGCCTTGCCAACTCCTCCTTCACTTTCGGAGTCTTCTCCCCCGGATAAGATGGGCTTGGGGGTCGGAGTCACAACACTCGCAAAGCATCCCTTTTTTATTTCCATTTTTATTATTAAATTACATCCAAAGGGTTCAGAAATCCTGTAAAAATCTTACTGATTGGTCACTCTGTGGTCAGCTGCCCCCAAAGCAAACTTTGTATTGTTTTTGGACCAAATAAAGAGAGAGGCCTCCTTTTCAAACAGCCAGCCTCCAGTCTTGATTTTAGGAAATCAGGGAAATTCTCCCAACATAATAGTGAAAAGATAAACTGTAAACACTGCAGCAACTAATATTAAAATAGATCAGGGGTGTCAAACTCAATTTCATTGAGGGCCGGATCAGCATTGTGGTTGTCCTGGCGGAGGTGGCAGAGCGGTGTGGGCAGGGTGGTTGCAACCGACTGGGTGTGGCCCGGGGGCCTTGAGTTTGACACCACTGATCGCAAAAGGCGATCCACATCCAAAGTGCTATGGCTACCTTGCAAAAAATGACAATTATTTTAGCTTTAGTGATCGGTTTGGTAACTTCCTAGAGACCTTGTGTGGCACAGGTGTAGGTCATAAAGGTCGAGGAGCAGGTGCCCTCTGATAGGAGGAGAAGGGAGGCCTTCATCCCTGCAGGCTAAATGGTCAATTACTATCACTTATCAGAGGGAAGATGCCTTCCTAGAGAGAAGCTGCCCTTCAGTGGGGCTCCTGGACTCTGGGGAAGCTTCCCTCCTTTTGTAACCTCCTCTCAGAGGGCTGAGTGAAAGTAAGAGTTTGGGTTAGATTTAGGGTGGAATGAGGGACATGCTGAAGGGGAGGGGAAGGGGCAGGGAGGGGAGGGGGAGGGGAGAAAGAGAAGGTAAAAAGGGGATAGGGAGGGGAGGCAAGGCGAGGGGAAAGGAAGATGGGGAAGGGGAGAAGAGTTTTTTTTAAAAAAAAATGCCTTTACGGAAAAGATCAGGCTTCCAAAAGCTGCTCTTTCCCAATTTTAGGGGCCTGAATAAGAATGTCTGATCTCCAAATGGGCATGAACTTTCTGTGCCCCACAAACTAGCCCCCCTTTGAGGCTTCCGGGTGGCTCCCTCTCGGCCTCCCCTACCTCCCACAAACGTTGCAGGGAAAACCTGGCAGTCGGAGGAGTCTGGAGCCTAGGGCGAAGTGAGTGAAATGCCCATCAGCCAGTCCCGCTGCCCTGCGCGAATCCCTTCGCCACTGCCCCTCCTCACCCCCACCCATCTGGGCAGCTCCTTCACCAGCCCTTGCAGCTCCAAAAGCAGCTGGTAGTGTCCCGCCTGCTGCCACGCTAGACAGTCTCAGTCCAAGCCACCTCCTCTGCGCGGGATCTCGGCCACCTTGCCCACCGGGAAGGTGAAGGCAGCCCTGAAGCTTCATGGACAGCGTGGCTGGGAGTGGGGTGCAGGTGGGGTGGTGGCAGTGCACAGCGACAGCTTCTTGAAGACCCCCCCCCCGGTGCTGCTATCTCTTCTCTTAGCTGCTGCCCCTCCAGAGCCCGGGAAGAGGGCAGCCGGGGTCTTCTCTGGTGAATTCCAGCTTGCATTTTGACTGATGCGACCTAAACCTGTATTTCGCAACAACATCTTGTTTGTTGCTGGCTCGGATTCCATTATGATTGCTTACAAAATCACGTCCCCCCTCCCCCTAGCCTGGACAGTCCCTCCTGTTTGATGAGTGCTCGGAAGAGTTGCATGTGAGCCTCCATTCTCGCGCTCCCTAGCCTGCTCCGTGCCCACTGCAGCTGCAGCCTCGGAGCTCCCTGGTGGCTTCCCCCTCCTCGACACCCACACCGCGCCAGCCCTGGGTGGTTGACATGCTCCTCTGGCTGCTGCCCCACGATTCTCACGCTCCGCTGTTTGCACTCAGCAGCAGCGGCTGCTCCAGCTGCAGCCTCTGGGCTGCCCAGCAGCCGCAGCGCACACCACCTCACTCTCTCCCCAAGCAGGGGGCTGCCGAGCAGGGGGCTGCAGTGGCGACCAAGGGACAAGCAACAGATGAAGCAACGTTGGCCTACCGCCTCCTGTGTGCACGTCAGGATTGGATGGGCCGGGCCTGTGCACACATGCGCCTGTCGCCTCCTACGTGCCCGCCAGACTAGCATGGACGTGAGGGCCGGATCTAACCATTTCGCAGGACTTCAGTTTGACACCCCTGAAATAGATGTTTAATTGATTTTTTCAGTATTATCCTATTTTTCACTAATATCCTATTAATGAAAAGAATACTGTCTGCTGCCACCTTATGCTTGCTTATGCTTTGGTGACCCATGAACTGTGGGGAGGGGAAATGAATAGGGGAATGCTTGGGGAAATGAAAATATCTCCTCAAGACGCTGCCTCAAGGTCACCCAGCTGGAAGAAGGAGGGATAGAGAAGAATAACATTCACAAATTCTTCCAAAATCACTACATAAGAAACTCACTATTATCTGTATGGGAAATTAAAAGCTAAGGTATGTTTGAGAATCCCAGAAAGGCTTTCAACAATGGAAGCGTGCACATATCCAAATCTGGTGAAGTTTGAAAAAATTATGACATATAAAGACATTTTGGACACTGAAGGGAAATTAAAATTAAGGAAGAGCTTGAAGACCAGGTTATTAAACTATCAGATTATCTAAGATGGCACCTCCAAAGGCTGCCTTGGTGAAATGCTCTCTTATGGTTTCTTTATTTTTAATTATTCTCTGTGACTCACTACGGATTTCTCATGAGACCATCTGCTAAACATTAAGCAACGTTTCTTTAAGGAGCAGCTTTCTGTGATCTCAGGCCTCCCCCTCTTTACAAATGCTGAGGAGATTCTAACACAGGAAGAAGCAATTTCCCCAGAGCCATGGATTACCAAAAAAACCAAACGGAAGAAGCGAAGAAAGAGAGGTAAAAGGGCGGGGATTTTAAACAAATTAAGGAATAGGAGAAATAAAACTCCTCTGCCTTCAATTTTCCTAACCAACGTATGTTCACTTGCTAATAAGATGGATGAAATATTCCTTATAGCAGCCTGCATATCCCAGGGTTTCAGATTCAACGATCAGACAGAATTGCAGAAACATCTGGTAAAAAGAAGGGAGGAGGCTTATGCTTATATGTCAACAGCTGGTCTCAGGATATAAGTATAATATATAAATTCTGTAACGAAAAACTAGAGACATTAATTATCAAGTGCAAACCATACTACTCACCTCGTGAATTTTCCTCATTTCTTCTAATTGCTGTTTATGTCAAACCACAAGGCTATGTAAACAAGGCATTATGAACTCTAGCTGACCAAATTATGGAGGTTGAAGCCAAATACCCTGATTCACTGCCCATTATTTTGGGAGATCTAAACAAGGCAAACTTAAGGAAAGAGCTACCAAAATACTTTCAGCATGTCAATTGTCCCACTAGAGGCAAGAATACTTTAGACAGTTGCTACACAATACTAAAAGATGCTTATCGGTCCTTACCATGAGCAGCTGTGGGACACT